ACTACTACTGCTGCTACTACTACTACTACTACTATTACGACTACGACTGGTACTACTACAGCTACAACTACTACAACGACTAGTACTACTACTACTACCTATGACGGTGCGAATATGGTCCTGCATGCGGTCAGGTGCAGTGGAGGTATGGACACAGCAGATAGAGGATAACTGGGACACAGCGCTCAGAGGGTCGTCGTTGAGGGCGGCGCTTTTACGCGCGACCCTGGATGAGACAGGACAAGCTATGGGCATCGCGCACGCAGAATTCTTCGCAGTTCTATGCTTATCTTGATATTATATTGGTTGGTTAATAATCCTGACATGCAGTTGGGATGTTCACCGACTATTATGGCATTGGAGGTAGAAGCTTTCTTGGGGCCGAGGCATCTCAAGCACGCCGATTGGATTGGCCCCAGAATCGACCCGACCTGCCCCATAGTACCAGGATCGGCTCAAGGCACCAGATTAGTAAGTTATATGGTTTCCCTCTCCTAGATGCAGCCCAAAAACGTGTGCAGACAGCTGGGCTATGGACGTACGTCGGCGACGCAGTGGGCAGAATCGAAGGCCCCGATGAGGTAGGGGAACACCAGATAGCGGAGCTCGCGGACGAGTTTATAAAGCAAGCAGCAAGTAGAAATCTCAAGATTTCACCGAAGACAGCACTGGCCGCCTCGAACCCTCAACTACGACGACGGATTCGGAAGAAGGTTAGCACAGCGAGGGCCCCCAGGCGAACGCCAAGCGGACATGGCCGACCTGGGCACCGACGTCAGCGGCATGGGCAAGCGTTCTCAGAAAAAGGCTAGGGCGCGACAGAGGAAAGCCAAGCAGCGTGCAGGCAAGATCTTCCGGCTACGGCGAGTGGCCAACAGAGTAACGAAGATCGCGCAGGGGCTCTTATCGACGGGCGCGGCACCTCAGGCCACTTTCGGACACGAGGTCTGGGGGGTCGCACCCAGTCGGATGCTACACCTTCGACGGATGGCCATGCCGCGGGGCCAGGCCCAGGGAGATGCTTACCTACGGGAATGGCAGTGTTATGTCATCTCACAGAACCAGGCATTTCTCTACGACGGCAGCTGGTCAGCGAATGGCTGCACCAATGGCTGCTACACCCAGAACTTCACAGGCGAGCACGACAAATCTGAACACCGAAGCACCGAACCCTCCAGCGCGCTGGCACCAAGATGCGGCACAAGGTTCATGGACCCGTCGCCGCTTTGCAGGCGACGCTCATCACAGCAGGGTGGAAGCCAGGTCATGCAGAACTATGGAAGCGACCCGCACCACAGGGAGACGAATAACGGCATTTACCGTTTAATGACAAACACGGCAGATGCGATGTGGACGCGGTCGAGTACACTCAGCTCCTGGAAGACCTTGAGACCGACTTGGACACGGCCAGGTGGAAGCAAGCAGCCACGCACCTCCACGGCGAAGATTTGTGCAATGGTGGCGACGTCTGGCATATCGGCAGAAAACAAAAGAGGTACGCGGACAAGGCTGAATGGCACGATTGGGTTCCCAACAACGTCGTCCTTACAGGTGGACAATGGCCAAGAGTTGGACAAATCCATGCTAGCTACGAAAGCGATTCTGACATCTGCGGCCGGTGCAAACAGGAACCAGAGACCCTTCTCCATCGCATCTACACATGCCCCTGTAACAAAGGGAACGACGAATATGAGGATACAGATTTCCTTGTGACGAAAGCAATGGCAGGAATGAATGCCAACCCAGCGTCATGGTTGCGAGACATTCCGCCGAAGGAGTTCACGCGCCCGATCGTCAACGACATCGACAGGCAAGACTACGTCAGGTGTGGCTCTTTCGAGCAAGCGAGGGTCCCTGGCAAGAAGTTATAATTCTTCGGAGACGGATCGGTCGGAGTTCACGGAGCAGACTCCAAGCGCAGAAGGGTCGGCATGGGGGTAGCTGCCGCGAAGTTGATCGATGGCGAGTGGAACATGACAGCGGGCACGATGGCAGATCTATTTGGACGGAGCCAGACAGTACCTAGGGCAGAACTCACCGCCTTCGCGATCGCGATCGAAGAGACTATTGGTGATATCGCCTATGTCACGGACCACTACCCTCTGCTCAACGCTTGGAACAAAGGCACAGCTCGAGACCCAGGACGCGGTAGAAATGCAGACATATGGGCACGCATCAAGCGAACCATTGTGGAGATCGAGTAACGGCACATCGAGGTGGAATGGACGCCTTCCCATCAGGACGATGACGAGGCGGAAGTGGTCCATCCGATCTTCGCGGTGGGCCACGGCTTCGCGGACGCGCTTGCGACGGTGGCAGCAGAGTCGTCTTGGGAAAGGGTATGTCAACCGCTGCCGCGCACGGACGAGTGGGACGCGATTTGCGCCCATGTGCGACTCCGCGCGCGACAGGCACTGGCCGACTCTGCAGATACTGATCCTTGGTGTGCCGAAATACCGTCCACAACAAGTCCAAAGTAAATATCGATAAAGCAAAAGCCATGGCCGAGAAGTCTAAGCACGACATGGTCAAGCTAAAGAATAAGTGGTCGTGTACGGCGTGCAGACAATCTGTGACGGCGGACGCCCTGCTGGAGCTCGTGGACACGCAATGCGACACCACCTTTGCCACTGCCAATGTGATTGTTGACGTCAAGGGTGATCGCCGCATGGGCAATGCCAAGTTACACCCGACACACACGGTCACCGAATGCACGAAGTACGGCCTATTGGTCTGTGCCAAGTGCGCTGCGTATGGCACTACGATTGGCAAGGGTTTGAGAGAGACGTGCGAGGAAATCATCACAAAGAGCGGCCAGGACGCATTGAACCGCATTGGCGATGGAATATATCCTGGCTACAGAAGCCCGCCGAAGGCGGCACTGGAAGCGGAGCGTGCCAGGCTTGTCAGGCAGATGCACGACCAGGAACTGCTTGCTCCACATGGACCGCAGCACCTTATTGGGATACCACCACCGCCAAGTGCTGAGCCACCTCCTCCACGCACACGACGTCGAGGTTCGAGAAGGCCTGCAGGACAGAAAGTCGCTCAAGCACGGGGTGGGTTTCATCGAGTGGGGAAAGTTGTGGCGGCAGGTCATACTGCAGATGGAATGTGTGAAGACGCAGGTGATGAATTACGACGACCCTCAGGTGCAGCACGACCTTGAGGAATTTTCGGAGAAGCCGAGTCCAGAGTGCAGCGGTTTGGACAAACACAGATACCCACAACACATTCATCCTCGACGGCAGTGGTACAACCCGCTCGAGAGTACATTGCTGAGCCACCTCCTCCACGCGCACGTCGTCGAGGTGTGGGAAGGCCTGCAGGACATGGAGTCGCTCAAGCTAGGGGTATTAGAACGCAAGCCCCAGCCTCCAGGTGCACCCTTGAGGTAAACAGCGCGAGAGATTGGGCTCAGTCGCCGAACGTTTTGCCAGAACCTGCACCCAGGTGCACCCGTGTGGTAAACAACGTCAGGGGCAGGGCCGCAGTTGACACAGTACGCGACCAGGACGCAGTGCAGTTGCAGATGATGGATTACGACGACCCCGACGTGCAGCACGGCCCTGGAGAAATGTTCGGAAACACCGAGTCCAGATTGCAGCAGACTGGACAACCACACATATTCGCAGCAGGTTCATCCTCGACGGCATGCGTACAGCCCGCTGGAAAGTAGACTGAACTGGACTTATTTCACGACGATGAGGAGATGTACCCGTCGCCTGCCAGTGAGAAGATAGGGCCTCCGCCTTCTGAGTCCCTCACCGCCGCTGCCGCTCGCCCGTCCGTGTGAACCCCAGTGTGCCCGTGACCTTGGCACCTGGGAGTGGGCCCCCACCGCGCCCAAAGGGCCGACGAGCGGCGGTGGAACTGGATGGTTGAAATGATTCCGCGGGCTCGCCGTGTCGTGCAGGGGCTCCTGTGCCTGCATGAGGTGGCGGGTCTAGTGACGTGCCTCTCCTAACCTAATCCTCCTCCTCCTTTTCCTCCTCGTCCTCCTCCTCCTCACCGCATCTCCTCCTTCGTCCCAGCCCCCCTTCCCCTCCCAACGGTGCCCCATGTCCTGTGGAAGCAAGAATAACGCTCGGAACTCGCCAAGGGCATGCTGCGCTCCCTGCGGCGGGGGACGCGAAGGAAGAGCTCAGCGAGAGAACGAGACAGGTGGGAGCTGGAAGAAAGTAGAATGGACGAGGAAAACAGGGGATCAATCAGGAGGGAGGAGGGAAGAGGAGGGTGGATACAATGGAGGGAAGGAGAGAAATTGGAAGAAAAGGGGGTACATCGTGGTCTCCAGGAGTCAGTCGCTGGAAGCCTCTTCTCCAAAATCTCCATAGTTATACATGGTGTTATATATATACATATATATAGAGAGAGAGAGGAAAGAGAGAGAGAACGAGAAAGATCCGCTGGCCCCCTTCCGAAGGTGTGCGCGATCTGTTGTCATGTGCTATGTGTTGTCATTTGATGTTTGGTGTTTTGTCTCTGCAATCATGTTTCTTGCCTCCTGTTTACTGTCTGCTGGGGGGCCCCGCCGCGCCATCAAACAGCCAACGGGAGGGGGGAACCTCAAGTCCTGGCTGTTGCGGGCCACCCCAGGATTCTCATGATGACGCCACGGCGCGGCCGGAACTGCCCGAGAGGCCTCCAAGAACGCACGGCCCAAGATGGCCCCATGAGTTTGAAAGGGGGCTGGGAGGCCCACCCAGCAGCTTCGCCGCAGGCGAAGCCAAGCCCCCGCTCTGTTGTACCGTAGTAACGATAGTCCCAAGTGGAAAGGATGTGCCATCTTAAGCAATTGGAAGATCCTTTGGTCTCGATGGCGATTGTGTGCCTCGCAATGAGGCGCAGTCATATTTGGGCGGCCGGCCGCATGAGCCGACGCGGCCGCGGGCGCACGCCCGCTTCCACTCCTTACGTCCCTCAGTTCGCTTTAGAGTCGGGGGGGGGAGGGACGCGAAGCGTGAGCCCGTCGCCCCTACACAGCAGGCGCAGCAGCTAATAAACACAAAAACAGGAAAAAGAGGCGCGCCACAAGAAAGTGAGCCCGCTCGCAAGTTGCCTTGCTTCTACAGCGCTGTACTTGAAATGCTTCTCAGAGGGCGTCAGATCTAGATGTCTGGCCCGCCCGATATGGAGTATGTCTCTTCAGGTCATGCTTGAAGGCCTGTATACCTCCCATGACTTGTAGGAGCATTTCTCTGTCGATGCTCCCCTTGGTGTGGCCATCCGCGATCATATCGCGGGAGTCGCACCACTGGATGCTGTGCACAATTCCACGTTCAATCATCTGTCGTATCCAATTGATGTGTCCTAAAATGCTGCACGCAGTCGGCTTCGTCAAGTCGTTGCTTGGCCAGGACTTAAAACAGACCCACATCGATGGTCAAAGTGACCTTGATGGTCAGGCCTCCCAACTCGAGTATATATTTCAACTGAGTGGGCGTAAGCGGCCCTGCGTGGAGCTCGTGCAGAGTCACAATCGTAGGATAACAATCCTCCAAATTATGAGCTGCTGCTAGTGTCTCTGCCGAATAGCTCGAGCGGGCCTGCAGGCGGTGAGACTTGCAGTGCGCGACGGTCAAAGAACGACAGGCTTACCGGAGGACGTGTTTCCACGTCGCAGCAGGCTTGCCCCGCGAATGCCATAGCCATTGACGTCGTCGTCGGCGTCTCCACTCAGGCGTCGGTATCCTGAGTCGCTATGCAGGTCGACCTCGCCCGTAGGAGTCATCGCCTGGTAGACGATCTTCATGTGGGCAGGCCTGTAGCTCCCTGGTGATCGCGCTCAGTTGTTGCACTTGGATGTTGGTCGCTTCTTGGACACGCTGTTGAGATACAACATGCACCATCAACCACACCTGGGTGATTGATGCATACGGCAGCGCGCCCCTGAGGCTGACGAACATGTCTGCGACCACTTTGGATGCCTGAGCGTCAGCGCCGGCGCCGGCAAGTTCAGGATGTTGTGTAGGACGGAGCTGCTTGTTGTTTTCATCTTGGCCGAAAGTGGCATTGCCGTCCTCGTCCTTGGTGCATCTTACAGCACAGTTGGTGCATGTGCGGTCGTTGGGCTTACACTTACCAAAGGTACCTTCTACGCACTTGACACACTTGTCAATGGTGTCCTTAGTGCCTGTTATATGGATATCATCCACATGTTTGGCCGTGGGCAAATTATTGCTCGTCTCGAAACTCCTCGCGGTCGGGCGCGGGTCGGGGGCCAGAACCTCCGGTGGTCCTTCTGAGCTTTAGTGAGAAAGCCCGCGGCGCGTCTTTGGTGCCCGCGCCTGGTTTCCAGCACTGCAGGCAGCGCCTTGACTCATCGTTGTGCTCGAATCCTGGGGGAGTTCGGAGCACTGTGGCCGATCCAGGCGGCAGAGCAAAACACGCCGCGCGTTTCTTTTCACCAGTAGCTCCAGCAAGTTCCTGATAGGCAAATCCCTTCAGGAAGGCCATGTTGATCACGAGGGGAGCGATGATCCATTGCTTCTTGCGCGCTGCCGTGCTGGACAGTAGCCTCTGGCTTGACCGTCGCGCCGTTCCCGAAAAGTTTTCTACGTCAAAGGCTTCAAGGTCCATGGAACCTCGGAGTACCAGGCGTAGTCTGATGGTACGTTCCATCCCGCCCTTCTAGTTCTTCACGAATTTCCATGTGCACACGTATCTCGAAGTCATTATGTTCGACGCTTTAGCTATATCTTCCATATTTAGACACTTGTTGTCGAACCATGTTTTGAGTTCGGTGTGGAGGGTTTTCGATACTTGATCTGGATTCGCCCAGATGTCAGCTTTCGCGAGCAGGTCGTCTTCATTGATGACCACAGCTCGCTCTGCAGCGGCGGTTGCGTATACTCGCATAGCGGTCAGCCAGTCGGCATATTGCATCATGTGTTGTTGTTGGGACAGGACTACGTTTGACATTTCTGCCGCGCAGCAGAGTTCGACATATCAACTATTTTCGTCTGAGTCCAGTCCGTAGTTGTCGTCTTCGACCATGGTACACAGTGGGGCGTGGTACGTCTCCTCGGTGTCGGAGTCGCGAGTGCGCCCCCACTTCGGCAGGTGTGCCCGCTGTTCATCAGCTGCAGTGATCAGCGCACTTTGATATGGAACCAAATGTGCAGGTATGGTAGAGAGGTCTGATGGTGGAGTTGCCCCCAGCAGTTCCCTTTCCTCGCGTAGTTCTGCAAACCACACTTCCATAACATGTGACTCGAGATCAGCCTCTGATGCGTGAATCGTAGAAAGCCGTCCATCATCATGTTATAGTTCTTTTATGAGGCTTCTCTAGTGACCAATTGATGTGTCCTAACATGCTGCACGCAGTCGGCTTCGTCAAGTCTTTGCTTGGCCAGGACTTAAAACAGACCCACATCGATGGTCAAAGTGACCTTGATGGTCAGGCCTCCCAACTCGAGTATATATGTCAACTGAGTGGGCGTAAGCGGCCCTGCGTGGAGCTCGTGCAGAGTCACAATCGTAGGATAACAATCCTCCAAATTATGAGCTGCTGCTAGTGTCTCTGCCGAATAGCTCGAGCGGGCCTGCAGGCGGTGAGACTTGCAGTACGCGACGGTCAAAGAACGACAGGCTTACCGGAGGACGTGTTTCCACGTCGCAGCAGGCTTGCCCCGCGAATGCCATCGCCATTGACGTCGTCGTCGGCGTCTCCACTCAGGCGTCGGTATCCTGAGTCGCTATGCAGGTCGACCTCGCCCGTAGGAGTCATCGCCTGGTAGACGATCTTCATTTGGGCAGGCCTGTAGCTCCCTGGTGATCGCGCTCAGTTGTCGCACTTGGATGGTCGTTTCTTGGACACGCTGTAGAGATACAACATGCACCATCAACCACACCTGGGTGATTGATGCATACGGCAGCGCGCCCCTGAGGCTGACGAACATGTCTGCGACCACTTTGGATGCCTGAGCGTCAGCGCCGGCGCCGGCAAGTTCAGGATGTTGTATAGGACGGAGCTGCTTGTTGTTTTCATCTTGGCCGAAAGTGGCATTGCCGTCCTCATCCTTGGTGCATCTTACAGCACAGTTGGTGCATGTGCGGTCGTTGGGCTTACACTTACCAAAGGTACCTTCTACGCACTTGACACACTTGTCAATGGTGTCCTTAGTGCCTGTTATATGGATATCATCCACATGTTTGGCCGTGGGCAAATTATTGCTCGTCTCGAAACTCCTCGCGGTCGGGGGCGGGTCGGGGACCAGAACCTCCGGTGGTCCTTCTGAGCTGTAGTGAGAAAGCCCGCGGCGCGTCTTTGGTGCCCGCGCCTGGTTTCCAGCACTGCAGGCAGCGCCTTGACTCATCGTTGTGCTCGAATCCTGGGGGGGTTCGGAGCACTGTGGCCGATCCAGGCGGCAGAGCAAAACACGCCGCGCGTTCC